CTGTCGAATCGGGCAGCTAATTGGTCTCATATACGTACGCCTGAATAATTGCAATGCTATCTGCTGCCATATTCATACTGAAGATTGCGTTTCCTTTTCCCAGTCCGCCTTTATTCAACATCACGTGGTCGGGCCTTAGTGGCAGAAGGAGTAGTATGTGTGCTTCAGTTCCACTAGCGCCGTTCATCAACCACAGCTTGCTCGCTCTTCACATAGATTATCTCGACAGCTTTTATCCTACTCCTCGGCTCATCCTCCGCGAGTGACTACTCGGCAGCTTTCGACTGCTTTCTGACGGATTAGGAGCTTCATAGGCCTAACTCCTTTTCCTGCCATTTTCTCCAACCCGGCTTAGTCGGTTCACTTAGCTGTCATATATTTTGTTTATCACTTCTACATTTCTCGAGTCTTCTGCTTAACTGCTACATTTCCTGTCTGTGGCTGTTTGTTGATTGCAGCTTTTGTGTGATGAAGCTTCGTACATATGTTGATGTGGCAATGTGAAAAGCTTAATAATGTTGTGGCTTCAGAGGGCCCGTCAAGTGGATAATTTCGTTGGAGAGCCTGGTCCTAAGAGGTGGCGCATCAGCAGTCGGACATCACTCTGATCCTTCTCCAAGACATGGAACACTCTTATCCAGGTGAGAAGCTGTGCTATCTTGAATTCGAAGCGATCGTGACGTCTGGCCGACCCTGTCCCTGGAGGCTTGGCGGCGGTTGAAAGCGACGACATTGAGAGGTTGGTCTTCTGGGACGCTAGTACCACCGCAAGTCGGCACCCGAAGAGCACTGCCTCTAGTTTCATCTCTGTCCGCAACGTCAACCGCCACAGACGGCTGAAGTATTGAAGCCGATCTGGTTCTGGTCCTATGTACTACCGCTGTCTGTCATCTGGCTTCTTAGGAATCGATGTTCTTTGCATGGCTATGCGGCCCAATCGATTACGCCCTTTTAACCTCATTTCGCTGTGCCGCTTTCCCCGTCCGTCTCAATGGCTTTTGCGAAGTAAGCCCGCGGCGCTAAGCCTTCACGATTGATTTTGTTTCGATACTCATGCACATGTCATCAGTTTTCGACCGAACAAACCGCTTTGTTCGAGAACAACTTCCCGAATTCATTTTATGGATCATGAGCTCTCACTACTTCTTCATCCCATATCGCTATGGCCAAACTTCGCTAACAAGCCACTCATGCACGATTCCTGCAGCCCAGCAGAACCCTGCCGCTTTCGCAGTTTTCTACACGCAATCGTTTCTAGGGGCTTGACATGGCTTCGCTTCCCCGATTTTCAATGTGGGAGCAGCGTCTGCTCTTTCACTAAGAAGAGAAAATGAAACCTCCCACTTCGTGAACATTAAAGAAATTTATGAGATTCCAGTTGTGCAGCAACGAGGTGAAGAGGAGCAGTCCGCTCTCGGCAATTCTTCGTTTGGATCCATCATTCGAGGCACTCGAGGTCACCTGTCCAGCTTCATCGATAGCGTTAGTCAGGTACGATGATTACCTTTTACTTTTTAAAATTTTGAAAGCTAGAACTATCCATCTCCTTGAGAGGAACTTGAAAACAGCGAAATGTTGGATGATGGCTTTAGCGAATAGCATACCATGGACACTTCGTCCATAGACACACCATTTGTGGGTAACTTTCGTGGTAATGAGCTAGAACGGCCCTCTTCCCGACAACTCTCGGTGAACTTGCATAGGCGAGGGAAACGATATGCTGATTTTAGCCGACCATAGACCATCACGCTGAATCGTGGTTAGCACGAGAGCACGAACTCCCGCAATGTTTCTAGTAACATGCATAAAGGTGCTGAAGAATTCGGCTTGAAATGTGAGCAAAAAATTGTAAAAAAAAGAAATTTTGCATAGCTACCAATTCATATAGAATTAGGAAAAATTTTTGAACATGAAAGCAATGAATTATGATATGGTACGAGTATAATAAATTTATACTATTAATATCCATCTGCCAGTAGTGTAAATCCCAATAATATTAGAGAGCACTTCTCCTATAAAAACTTCATATAGCCTGCCGCAGCCACGACATCAGAAGAACCTGGCACGGGAAAGTAATGCACGGCTCGAGCTCGAAGAGGTCCTTGAGGATCAAGGATCATAAGATCTTGTTTGAAACCAATGATCAGAGGAAGCCTTGCGTGGTTAGAGCTATTGTCTCTGGAAAACAGCCCACAACTAAATCGATTGCAAAAACATGTAGCTGCTCTAGGCTAGAGGAATTAAGGTGTACATCTTGAGGTAGAGAATCCGCATCTACGGATCACCTGAGGCATCACGGTTGCTCTGCTTATGAAGGAAGATCTATGCAATAATTACTATAGCTCCAATCAACGGCGGAATCCTTTGCAAAAAAAGTTTGCTGATGTACGCCAAATGTTATTTTTGGCTCATCTCCCCCCCCCCCCGCGGTTAACATGATTATGGTTAAACTACTCCGCGCTCAACAAATGTCTTTAATTATCAAGGATCATAAAAACCTTCGAGCGACTCATCCGAGTAACGACATAAACTCCATTGGTAGTCTTAAACTTGTTTGTTTTTCCTTACATTAGATTTTAACCTATCACTCGACAATGCAACTGTGGCAAAATTCGTCCCTCCGACCTTTCTAAGGCAATGCTTAACTTGACAGATATTCAGGGTATATAATTTCTTCCCTGGGATGAGGACGACAACCCTTCAACTTCCTTTGTTTTCTCAAAGAGTTTACGTAGAAACAAAGACTACATCTCAATATATGGGTAGCAGTCAAACATAAGGGATTTTCGCACCATCCTCAAGGATATGCAACCTCGCTATACTCAATAGAATCAACTTGGTTCCTAATGACGAAAATCGCCATATTAAGGGTGAGAAAAACGCCAGAGAAGTGTATAGATTCAAGAGATTGAAGGCGCATGTGCAAGTCAATTGAGGAAATGAGGTGCAGCAATCTGGCAGAAAATCTTCGTCGCACCACAACTATTTCGCATTCGAATGTGCCCAGTCCCTTTCATTCTTTTAGAAGAAATAAAAATCTCTTTGTTCTCAGGCATTCATAACTTGGAGTACTAACTATTACATATTACTTTTACTTTATCCTTTTACTTTTCATACAACTCATCCCTTGCTTCTGCCCTTTGTCTGATGTTCAATAACACTCACAATAACAAAACAGCGGCCACTCACATGAGTATATAAAAAATAAATAAACAAATATCACCTTTATAGCGCAGTTTGCACGAGAAGTACCAATCCCAGCGTTCCAAAATTGATCTCCATAAACATTTCTTTGAAAATAGAGCGAATACTGCTACTTTCCAGTAATCTATTTCGCTTGTAAACTGACGTCATATCGGCGACGACCGAAGCGACGGACACGCGATGAGCGATCGCGATCGCTCCATCGCGTGCCAATCGCTCTCGGTCGAGCGATTGGCACGCGAGCTATTGCGCAATCGCTTGCAAAGTGCACAAGCGACGGGCAATGGCTCTGCTCGATCGATACCGCAGCCGACTGCATTGACTGGGGGCGGGGCCAATCGCCCGTCGCTTGTGCACATTGCGCAATCGCTTGCCAATCGCTCGACCGAGAGCGATTGGCAAGCGACGGACAAGCGATGGAGCGATCGCGATCGCTCCATCGCTTGGTCCGTCGCCGACTATGACGTCGGTCTTGGCAAAACCGCTCGCCAGTCGTATAATATGAAGTCAAGGAATCTTTAGCTATAAGCCTTCCTGAAGAAATGTCGGTCCATTCCAGTATGAGGCACAGGTGAGGTTGACTCCCAAAAGCTACGAACTCGAGCAGGGGATTACCACCTAGGTGGGTAGCAGTCACTGAACATGATGTTAAAGCGGAACTTTTAGTTTACATTAGCTCGCCGAGAAACTGCATCATGATGCCCCCCCTAACTGGAATAGACCCGAAATGTCTAATGCGACCATCAAATTAGTGAAAGGGAGTCGGACCTAACGACATGACTACAAAAACAAAGTTCTAGCGCAACAACCACTTCATGTTTTCGCGCTCCATTACAAAATGCGCGCCCCAACGTCATCAACCGACACTTTTCAGTCACGCTCATCCGGACCAAAACGGAAATGTGGGGTTTCTCCTAGGAAGCTGCGTGTTGTTTGATGAAATATCTGGATCTCATGCAGTAAGGGGCGGGAAGGTGGCACGGCTGCGGTAGTTCATGTCGTTCAAAGTATTCCAGTTTTTCGCAAGGGAAGGAAGCTCCGGGTTGGCAGTGGAAGGAAGTGAAGTGGTTCACGCACCCCGGGCTCCTCCTCTTCTCCCTGCGGAAATTGGGATCTCTGGAGGGGACAGCAACTGACGCAACGCTGCCCCCCCCCCTTGCTTATCGGATGAGACCCTGTGTTTTTACGTGTTATAACACAAACTTCTACGAAAAGTAATATTCACCTAGTGAGCAGCTAGCACTAATCGTAAGCATGAGAAGGAGAGGAACTTTCTCCAGAGGAAACGACGATTGATTACAAATCCGTGGGTTTTCCCTCCCTTCTGAGGCTTAGCCCCAAACCCCTACACTAGGAGAATATCAAGGCGCATGTCCCTTCCGACTAGGATAGACCCAAAAAATATCAATTACCAAAGAAAACTAGAAGAAAGAAGGTAGAGAAAACTGGTAGCAGTTCGTAACTGTAAAGGATTCCTTGAGCCAAAATGGCGTAAGAGCAGCCTCTAGACCGCAATGCCCCCTCTTACCAGAGTAGACCCAATAAAAGAAATTCTACAAAAATCGTCATCTCATTAGCTTCCTATTAAGGGCACTTTCTCAAGATATCAGACAACCAACTGAAGCCATAGATATGCCACTTGAACAGTCAATAATTCACGCATCAAATACTTTGAGATTTAGGGATTGAATAGATGGGAGAGCCTCCTTTTCCTTCCACTAACCATAAGCCAAATTCACGACCTGCCTCGAAAAGATAAGGGCTTGCGCGTGCTGGGATCTGCAGCCAACCTCGCGATGAAAGTGAAATGGCGCACGGCTTATCAACCGAGCGCAAAGAACGATCGTGCTGTGAGCGTCGCGGTTGGCGGCGCGGTCGGAGAAATCCAACCGAATCAATGTTGCCTCTTCGCGGACAGCTTTTTCTTCGCACTTTCGTTCCTTGCAGCACTTTTCGCATGGAAGCTTTCTATAAGTGAATTATCAGTGCTTTGATTCCGGGAGTAAACTGCTTGTCGCGTAGTTTGGAGTGGTGACTCAGGTGACTCAGCACAGCATTTTGGTGTTACTCATATGTTTGCCTCGTTTACCGCAATTTTCCACGCCCACGTAATAATTTCAAAGATTCTCGCATATCAAATTGCTCAGTGGTGCTCATCGGGGTACATTAGGTGATTCAAGAATCCGTTATTCACCGTCGACAGATTGCTTCCCCCACTGTCATGATAGTTCTGCCTCATTTATCCATCTACGTTTCAAAACTTAATCGAAAAACACGTTCTTATCCGCGGTTATTTTGCCTTCTTGTTATCCTTTTGCTAGAATTTGCACGGAGATGATGCGCATGCTCTTTCCAAAGTGAGCAATTGTTGCTGAAGCGTCGTTCGCATCATTGAAATCCTCTTACGGCCTCGGTAAGTAAGGGTTTGGTTACAACGCTTGCATCGCAATAGCTTGCTACTTTCTGCAATATGTTGCGTGTTGGTTCTTGAGGACTGAAGGGTCGATGCTTCTCCACGCATCCATGACCGCAGTTCGCAGCTCGTCGATGGTGGAAAACTGTCTGCTGTTGGCGTAGACTCGTCGCACAATTATTCCCCAAAGGTTCTCCATTGGGTTCAGATCAGGACTGCACGCAGGCCACGCCATAACCTCAACTTTCTGTCGCTGCAACCATGCGGAAGTTGACCTGCTAGCATGAACACTTGCATTGTCCTGCTGGAAGACCAACCTTTGTCGTCGCCTGCGACTCAGGAACGGCAATAAGTTGGATTCCAGAACTTGCTGGTACTCTTCTGAGTCCATTCGGCAGGAAACAAATGCGAGCTCCAGCTTGCTGTCCCAGCAGTAGGCTCCCCACACCATCAGCGAACCGCCACCGAAGTTGCGTCTGCTGAACTGCACTGGGTCCTTCCTCAGGTCACGCCAGTAACATCTGGCTCCATCGGGTCCATCCAGGTTGAACTTCTTCTCGTCGGAAAAGATCACCTAAAGACTTTAAATTACTCTACAGTGCATAAACTTCGCCTACAGTTCTACA